TTGATACATTCTTTGTTGTGGAGCCTGTATTTGCCCCATGGTCATCATTTGTCTTTGTTGGGTATGTAATAAGCTGCGCATCATAATATCATTATTATGAGGCAAATCTGTTTTCATGGAACGATATATATCATATATTTTTGTTACATATGCCGTGTAGTTAAGGCCAGGTGGTCTAGTTCTTAATAATTCAAGTGCCCGATCTTTTAAGTCAGATTTTCGTCCACCTTTATTTTGACTAAAAGCTCCCAATAATGTTTGCAAGTCGGTAGTCCGGAAACTATCCAACATATTTTTATAAGCGTCATCATGGTTGCTCATCATAGTCGCTAAAAAACAAATTAAAAATCATCATAATTTAATTAGTTCTTTTTATTAAGTAAATGTATACTTATAAATAGTTATAATTATCACATAATAAAAATAAATATATTTTATCATCTTTAAAATAGAATATGTATGGATTATTTTGTAATTTTTTTAGATTCATAATAAATTTAAACTGTGGTAACCAAATAACCTAACTAGAATTTCCAAAGTTTGCGATTATCCATTTATACGCATGCGTACAAGAACACTGTACTTTACTGCCAAGCTCAGTATAATGAATTTTGATTTTTTACCTATTTTAACAAGTTAAGAATGATGGTGAATCCACAATTTGCACAATCAGCGAGTCATCTTATTTCATCAAAACATTAAATAAGGATATAACAATAATAAACCAATTTTCGACTTAATCAAAATATTATTTATAGACACATCGTAATCAGTACTATGACTATCTCGTTTAAACATAGCTATGTAGATACCTATGTAATTAAGCATGCGGAAACGACAATGAAGTCAGAATTTGGAGGACAGATTTAGTTTTAAAGTTATACCTAATTCTAATTTATAGTATTTTCATTTACACCCGTCGTAGTCACTTACTCGCTGCGGTCATTCAAACAATTAAAATCGTAAATATCCCTTGGTTTGTTATGTAAAACTACCTCGGGTGGGCCTCGGAGTTAAAAAAAAATAATTAAAAGCCCATATACACTCGAAATGGTCACTCCCTTGCTGCGCTTGCTCGTACGTACAAGATAGAAAACACCCTTCAACTTATTATGTAAAACCACCTTGGATGGGTCTTCAAATAGCTAAAACTAATGATGGTAAATTGGTAAATGGTATTCGATTGTTGACATTATAATATTTCTTAGGTATGGGGGTTACAAAAAATTGTTTAATGAAAAAAGTGCAATGTTTTGTGGTGCTCTTTTTGTAGTGGTATAAAATTGTAATTTAAACCATAGGTTTGAACCAATTTACCATTGTAACCTAAGCCACCTAATAAAGAATCCAAATTTATGATATTGTAAGAAAAGTAACTGTGATGAAAAAAATGTAAAGTAATTAATTACCATTATAATAATAAATTAAAATAATAATACTGATTTTTATGCCAGCATGTTAAAATCAAAATAATGAACTGTTTGCCAAAAATTTTGTTTGTAATTTTTTTTTTTTTTTTGAGCATGTCATTCGATTACCAATTATACTATTTCAGTGTATCAAAAGGTAGTTATAAGAAAAAATTATTTAACTCTTGTAAATTAATTGCATACCAATTATTTAAATTTAAAGTATTAATGCATATTTAACTAATCTTTAGAGGACCATAGTTAATAAGATAGAGAACCAAAATTGATGATTTGACTATCAAAATTTTCTGAAAAAAAAGTTTTACCAAAATCAATTAAAAAATATATTTGTTACAATGAAAAAATAAATGAAAAATGAATTTGTTAATTAAAAAAGAAATTGAATAAGTTAACAGTTAAAATAATGCCATAAGTAACTGTTAAAAGTGTCGGTGCCAGTCATTTATTAAGAAGTAAAATTAATTAAAATTTAAATAATTCTATCGGCCTTGCGTGGAACGTGCATGGGTGTGAGAATGTAAATCGATCATCATGTGAGTGAGCTATAATTACATGCACTGATAAAGATATGTACGCACGCCCATGCAGAAGTCAGTGCTAGACTTTGATGACTATTATTGAAGCACTATTTTTATGAACAAAAATGGTTTCAAAGAAAAAACTCTCATGCCTTACTTTAAATAGTAGTAGAAAAATAAGTTTGAAAAAGGGCAAATATTGTTCATTTTTCAAATGCATATGCTAGCTTCTATAATTATAATTTCAAAATCAGGCTTTGATTCGATCTACAAAATGTTCTCTACTTTTAGATTAAAAAAAAATTAACGATATCCGACAATTCTACGGGGCGTGAGAGTTTTTAATGTAAGACATGTTTTTGTACCAAAAAACGCACCGGCTCGGACCCCCTAAGTTAAAAAATGAAATTAACTTTCTAACTTAACTTAACTTTTTAACTCGTTAATGCCCAGCCTTGCATATTAATATATTATATACATATAGTATATTATACCTACATATTATGTAATATGTTGGACTAAACCACAAAATAAATTTTAGAGGAAGTACTCCTCATTTACCATACTCAGTTACATTTGATATCTCTATAAATAAAATAAATTATAGATTAAAAACATAGATTTCTTAACATAAATATTGTATTAGGTACCAACAAACTCAATTTTTTATCTTTTATTACTTAGTTAACAATTCCCGTTAATTAAAATATTTTAAACTTTACTCATTCTACATACATTATTATGCAAAAAATTATGCTATGTAAATATGACTTACGAAATAAGTACACTACAATCATCAGAATTTGTTTCAACATAAATATGTTTTTGGGCTAGGTACAGATATTTTCATTTTCAAGCCGATTGCTTACCTAACCTAACGCTTTGCTCATCATTATCAATATAGAAACAAATCAAATTTAAAATGTACCTAATCCCACTATATATTACCTATACAATTAATGGTATCATATTACACTCTACAAACTTTTAAGTGACTCTTTTGTTGGTTACTGGAAAATGTAAACAGTCATTTTTCATTATTTTATATTTCACACACACAAAATTCATCAATATTTAATTAAATTTTAACCAAAATATATAATCTAATAAAACAATTTATTCAAAAACGTTCAAAGAATAATATATAATATTAAAATTTGTCAATTAACATTAATAGGTATTTATTTATTATTATTAATTATTCATGGTAAATCGACTTTAGGGCTATTAGTTTATGAGATATAAATATTAAAATTTAGATGAGCGGAGTAGTGGACATACATTTTGCAGGATAACCCAGTACCACTTAATTTTAAATACTTATAACGCATAGACTACTCACGTCTCACACTAAATTCGATTTTTATGTATCGAAATACTTAGAAAAATATTCTACTTTGGAATATGAAATTTAAACTCTGTCGTCAAAAATAAAATAAAAAAATTAGAAGGATAATTTTTTAATAACAAAGTTGTTTTGTAAGCGACTCGAAACTATGTAAAAAATATTTTCAAAAACAATTACACTTTTTGAAATAATGAGTGTTCAATTTTAAATAAATCGCCCAGTCCTATAGTCTCTCGGGTAAACACAAACGTTAACGAAACTATAAAAGGGCTATACCTACTCATGTCTTCATAAGGTACCAACCCACCCACGTATAGAAAAATATCAGGTAGGGCTGAAGCCTAATCAGCCCTACCCGTGCGCACGCCTATTGCCATATATATATTTAAAATTAAACTGTAACCATTACAGCGAAATATTCAAAAAGGGATGGTAACTATATACCAGCAGCTACAAACGGTATTTAAATATCTTATTACAAACAATTGTATCTATGTACAGTAACTACGGACAATAAATAACTATCTTAATATCAACAATCATAAATATGTATAGGTAACCAACAGACTGGCAGAACAGTGATATAAGGTGTTCTATACTTATGTTAAGCAACCAAAAAATCAAAAATGAGCACTGGTACTAAATAAGATTTGTACCGATGCCCTATAATGATTTCAAGAATTGTATTGAAATATTTAGAAAGTACCAAACAATAATTACCTGCAATAGTATTTCCTTTTTTCTTTAGATTGAACTGTAAGTCGAAATCAATTTGAACAATCAATAAGCTTGTGATTGTCGTTGGAACGTTTAACACGACGAGCCGACTACCATTTGACCACGACGCTTCAATTCTGATGAAAACTTTGATTTTGGTAGTACCGAGACACAAAGTGTGAGGTACAGAAAAGCGGTTGTCGCTGCTAAAATGATTGCTGTGGAACGCCGAATTGGACGTTTAGTCAAGTCCGTCGTATAGATGCTGAATGCCTGAATAACCAAAAAAATCATTAACAAAGGGGCAACAACAATTTAGTTACGTGTCTACGTGCTTCGCTGTGATTGGTTGGTTAGGTTAAGTTACCAACACGATTAACCGCGATGCAGTGCTGTTGGACATAGCTAAACATTTTTCGAGTACACGGCTAAACTGTATAATGGAAACCCGCCTTAGGGCGTACGATTATGAGGGGGACGCTTTGCGTGGGCCCCGTGAGATACTTATGATGTTGGTAACAAGATCGTTGCCCGTTGGACGGTTGGATGTTGGTCTTGATATCCGATGTTAAGTAACCACAGGGGGATATCCAACACTTGGTCCTGTCCATTCTTATATAATTATGTATGGTGGACACGTCGTCGAGACGTACACAACACGGCAACACGGCGAAATCAGCGGCCATTTTAGTTTCTTTTGTTATCAAATTATAGTCAGTGATAACTGATATCTGTCATTAATTATTCTTAAAGCCGTGATTTTAAGCAGTAACAACAAACGAGTAACAATTAACAACAAACAGTATATTATTGTAAATATTGTTATATGTACCCAAGTACACCGGCAGACCGGCTACACATGAGTACATGATAATTTACAGTATTTGGGGCTACACTCTACTTTTATTACAAACGGTTACTGTTACACGATAATAATTTCAAGCGAAATACGCAATCCAGCTGGAAGAAACATACTGTATCGCGACCATGGAGCCGGCAAGGAAACAAGGTGCACTAGCTGAGGGCTTCGATCCGAGCCGAATAGGTCCCGACGATCTTGTTACAGGATTGGTTGAGTATACATTTATTAACATTCTCGTTAAAATATAATAAATCGTAGGACCGAACCCATGTATTATAATATTTCATTATAATGTACCTGATCCAATACGACAGGGGGTAATAAGATCGATTGTAGATGATTTGGATCAAACAATTTTAGACAGAATAACACAGATTTAGTTGTAAACAACAAATAATAATGTTCCAACCGTAGAATAAAGATACATTTGGTTCCAACTATCGTATCTTGTTAAAAGTTTATTCATCAATTAATGTTAATTATGCAAAGATTTGGGATCCCGAGTGTACAATTTATTATTGGCCTATTTACAGGTTGCTGGTTTTCCATGCCAAATTTACATAATCGCTGGGTATAATCATCTGAGTTGAGTTGGTTCACAAAAAATTTTTTATTACATATCTATAATATTTTACTCGATTCCTCTCATAACACAGTTTCAATATTGTTGTTCATTGCTAGGTATCATTTTTGAGAACAATATTGATTATGCAACAAACATATTTCTGATCATATAGATAGTAAAAGTTGTAAGCCGATTTTAGTTCTGTGTTATTAGAAATTTTACTATTGACATATTGTCAATAATATTACCACCATTCACATGTATCTCGTTTTTTATGTTATGGCGTTCACTGATTGTGTTTATTTTTATTTCAGTCAACTGACGTTGAATTTGAGGGCCGCAGTCCAGAAATCGAAGATTTTCATCGCATTAAAAAGTTATTACAACAACTGTTCTTAACAGCCCCAGTAAACCTGACTGATATGACTTCGTTACTGCTTCATCCGCCCAAAATTGGCTCAGTTATTATAAAGGTATAAAGTTTAATAATTCATGAGAACGCCACCCCAGCATTCATTGTCTCGCAAGTCACAAAAGTACAACATAGCAAATTTGTGTTCAGCCGTTCCAATATTGTGTAAAAACCTTTAATGATACGAAGACCTAAAAAAATTGACCTATTATAAAACTTCCAAAAACATTATCTGTAAACGTGCTATGTTGTATGTTTGTAAGACTGATACAACACATGCGAGTGTGGCGTCCTCTTTAGTAAATGACACATAACCTTTAAAGTTTAAAGTTTTTTTTTTTATTTATTAGAACAGATTTCAGGGGCTCCTCTTGTTGGATTGTTTTTACATCATAGTACACTATTCTATATTATTACATATTATCAAAATAGTTAGTGTATTAAGTTTATTAGATTTTGCTAATTAGTTTGGAGCTGTAAATTAATTCCAAGGTAGAACTGACATTGCACTGATTGGAATGCTGATCTAGAAGGCCCGATCCTCTTCTTATGTTTTAATAGCCCCGGCATTCTGTGAGTATGTGTTTGACGATTAGGGAGGTTCACAGCTGGTGCAAACTGGAGGTTCTTCTCTCTTCATGAGATTTAAATGAGTGATGTGGGTATGTCCTATCCTGAGGCGAGTGATGGAAGTCCCATGTTTTCTGGTGATGTTTTTGAAGAAGGGCCAAGGGTAGGCAGTTCTTTTGATCTCGTGTATTTTGGTGGATAGTTTTACGTTCACCCATATATTTTCCAATTGGTCACGTCACATGAATCCTGTGTGTCTTTGGCTATAATTCTTTTAATATCCTGGTATGATAAGTCTGTGGATGTAAGAGGGTTGTTGGTTAAATGAGCTAGTTTGGCAGCCTTGTAAGCATGTTCATTGCCTTCTATGTTACAATTTACAATGGCCAGGTATCCTGGTTATGTATGATATGTGTTTATTGGAGAGGGTGGCGTAACTATGGATTTTGCTAGGGGATGCTTAAACACCTCCCCCCCACAAATAATTTAATAAAATATAACCTATCCACTTGGAGATCACTACCAGACAAAATATTAAACACTATTGATACTATCGATAGGAAATTATGTTTAAAACTTTAAATTTTAATATTATAAAATACTATAATACAGTGGCGGCTCGTGGGGTTCAAAGTAGGTGGTGTGCAATTATTGCAAAAGTTTATTTAAAAAAAAAAATTAGTCTGTTTTAAGTATAAATGTAATTAGTAAAATATTTATTAGCATTTTTAATTTTGAGATTATACAGTTTTAGAAAATAATATTACATATTAGTTAGGTATAGCGTATTTTATTTATTGTCACAACAGACCACATGTCATAACTAATCATATTAAAATAGAAAAACGTTGGAGTTTACAAATTAAACCAGTGCAGAGTGTCATGCTCTGCGTTGATATCTTTCTCCGTGTGTGTGTTTATTGCGTGCAACCGCTGACGAGTATATAGTGGGAGCTGCACACCAAAGTCACATATAATTGCCGATTCCTCACTCGACAACCAAACGTATTTTACACAGACAGACGGTGTTCAGACTGAGCTGCACACCAGTTGATGAGTATTTGTTGCATAGCTCGATTACATTTTAGGAGTATAATAATAATTATCGTTTGTTTCTTTTTAAAATTTAATTTTTTTATATAATAAATACAGTTTAACAGATATTATATTAAAATTAATTTATTATTATACATTATTGTTATACATTTTCACTATTATATATAATTAATCTATGTGGTGTGCGCACACCTGCACACCTAGTCACGAGCCGCCATTGCTATAATAAGTTTGTTAAACTTTGTTCTCTAATAATTGGTAGGTATGATTGTGGTAAATGTTATTTTTTACAATTCACCTAGAATTATTTTGATTCGAAATGTTGATGTTTTGTAATATATTTGATGGTAACATTTTTTTTGTTCGTATACTTGAGTAAAAATTACTATTGAATAAATATTTCTATATAATTGCAAACATAAAAGTTGCATTTTTTATAAATAGTTGATAATTTTTTTATTTTTAGCTCCGATTCAAAATTTGTCTTTATTTTTTTTAAATTTAATTTCCTGTTCTGATCATCGATGAGGCAAGGGGAGGGTGCTGCCGGTCCTGAAATTTAAATTTATGCTACTTGACAATTGCAGACATTTTTAATTTGAAAATATAAAATACATTTAACTTTATGTTGGTACTCGATCCAAAATTAATAAGTATTACATTTTCTGTAATCTATTAATTTTTCATTTATATAATTAAACCTTATTAAGTACACATTTGTAAGCAGAATTATACTGAAACTGTCAATTGTATTTTTTATTAACATACCTAATACATTTTTTAATTTTATACATTTTTTTTTTTTGCATATTTATGAATTTTTGAGTACATAAATATATTAAATAATATTTAACAATAACTGTGTGTTAACACATTGCGACTATGTGAGCAATTCATAATTGTAGCACCCACAAGATTTAACTAGTTGCTCTACTGGTTCTAATTTGTGTATTATTTATTTTTCGAGGCATGTCAGGTTGGTTTCTAGTGAGGCTGGAAAGAAAGTTACTAAGAATTATGGCCTGGCTAACTACAGTTTTATTTGCTGTGAAGTTGGTGGCATTGAGGATGGCTAAGGCTTTAGCAGTGTAAATGGAACATTTATTGGATAGCTTCCATTGCATTTGTGTGTCACTGTGGATGATAGCAACGGAGTTTTCCATGGCATGCATCTGTAAATATAATTTCATGTTGGTGACAATATTTTCTTGAGGAAATTTCTGTAATGAGTAAGGTAGATAAATTTCTTGGGGAGTTGGTGGAAGTCCAGGCTGGTGTTCATTGAGATGAGCCATGGCGGAGAGATATTGGTTTCAGTTGTTAATATGTTTTAAAGTTCATACTATTTGTATCAATTGTCAAACATGGAATGAAGGTTGGGAATGGAGGCTTTGGGGGACTCTTGCCATTTTGGATGTTTGTTCAGACCATCTGATGGACAAGAGGGGAATACCCGCTATGCTGAGGATGCTGCTAATGGGACTGGAACGGAAGGCGCAGATGGATAGTCGAATCCCAGTGTTGTGTACTGGTTCCAATATTTAAGGCAAGATTATTTGGATGTAGAAAAAAGTGGGGCTTGCAGTCGATTTTTGTGAGGATAAGAGATTTATAGATTTTTAGTAGGGTTCCGATTTGAGCTCCCCAGGAGTTATGGGAGGGTGTTTTAATTATGTTGATTCTAGGGTAACAAGATTTTTTATGTATTGAATGTTGAATTGAACCAGATAGCTTTGGAAACAAAAATTACTCAGAGGATTTTAAGTTGAGTTTTGTTCTCGATGGTGTGGTTGTCCATGTTTATTGATATGTTTTCCTTTTTATTTTTTTGGTTGATAAGTATAAGACTTGTTTTATTGGGTGCGAATCTGATGCCAAATGTTTCGGACCTGTTTGTTGGTTGAGTCTTATAGTAGCTGTTGGATCTGCGGCAGATAATATTGAAATTTTCTGCATACAACAGGAATGTTAAGGTTTGTACAACTTCTTATATACCATTGATAGTGATTAGAAATAGCATTACCTGCTGAGATAGTGGAGCCATGAGGTATGCCATTCTTTTTTGTAAATGAATCTGATAAGAAGCTCGAGGTTTTGACTGGAAAGGTGCGGTCTGGAAGTTGCTTTTTCTATTATGTTTCCTTTAATTAATATTTTATTGAGCTAATGAATAATTTTGTGCTTCCATCTGTGTTGTACGCCTTGGCAATATTAAAATTGATCATTCCTAATTTTTGTTTGTACTGTCAAGCAGTTTGAATTTCAATTTTTTTGTTTAATAGGTTTTTAATAGTGCTTTTGTTACTTGTATAACCATTTTGTTTGAGGTGAAGGTAATTGGATTTTTCCAAAAACCACTTTAGGCGGTTATTGGTTTATTTCTCAAGTAGCTTACATAGAGTGTTGAGAAGACAGATAGGGCTATAATAGCTTCGGGGAGAAACTTATGATTATCGAACTTTAGAATAGGAAAAATTAATAATTATAACTATAGAGCCCAGATATATACCATCAAACCAATTACAAAATATTTAATAAATTATAGTACATATTACTATCTAAGTCTTCTTCTATCATGTCTGAAGATATCTTAATAGTTGTACCAAAGGAGAAACACACCAGGCGGCCACAGGAAAAATCTGTTATGCAATTGGCTTTTCTTTTGGAACAGAATATAGTACTATATACTTATCTAAGGTATTAAAAAAATTAAATATTCAGAACATTTTATAGAAAATTTTATTTGTGTAAGTTTAAATATTTATTCGAGTTTACAAATTAAAAAAAAAGTGGGTAAGTGGGTGTCGCTTTGCTGTACAGAAGGTTAGACATTTTTTTTTATAAAGGTATTTGTATTACATTTTCAAAACTTGGATTTTAAAAGAATAATTTTTATAAACTCAAAATAATTTGCTAAATTTCAAAATTCTCCGTATTTTGTCAAGATATAAACTGCAAATGCTCATAAAAAAAAATTTGGGTAAGTGGATGTCGCTCTGCTGTATAGTAGGTTACAAGTGCGTCACTGGAATGGGTGGTATTAAATTTGAATTCAATGATATAATACCATTGTATAAGAAAAACGATTCTGAGCGAAAACGGTTAGTCATATTTTTCATCTGTCTTTGAAACAATATATTAGGAGCCTTCTATAAAATTTTTAAGCTTTTATACCCAAGAAATAAAATTTTATTGATATTTATAGAAAAAAGAACGGAACCTAAAAATGTCCGTAAAAAGCTCAAAATAACTCAAAATATTTAGAAAATTTTATCATGTATAGAAAATGGAAATATAAACAACCAGTGAAAATTGCATGTATCTATGGTCATTTGTTTTAAAGTTACTTACACCAAAAACCAAAATCGATTTTCTCGAAAACAGTATTTGCGTAAAAATTCCCGTTTTTCCTTCATTTTTCTTTTGTTTTTTACCCCGCTA